TCGTTACGTTTTCAATTTTCAATTTTTTTTTACGTCTTTAAAAATTAATTCCAGGAATATGTCCGTCATTGTAACCTTTTTCCTTTTCAAACATAAATAAGGGAGACTATGTGAATGCTGGCGCTGACTATGCGACAGGACATATGAGGGTTAAATGCTCTTTTTTAAGGGATCATGATAGGGAGCCCTGATTATAGAAAACCGCGAGCGGAGCGAGCGAAATTTTTTGTTGTATTTTATAACCAAAAAGAGCGGCTTTAGAGGATTTATGCAATACTATAGGAGACTCTTTTGGCCAGTTCCAGCCAGTTCACTACTATTATTGCTGCCTTGGTGGGTCGGGCATCCCCCTATGAGCACTCTGTTAGCCACACTTGTTCACGCCGTTCGGTCGTAAACTTTGGTTTAAACGCGAGCGAAGCGAGCAAGAAATTTTTTCGATATTTCATGACAAGAGGAGCGGTTGTGATAGGGATTGGCTACCTTTTTTTCTACCCTTTTTGGTGCCGTCTCCTTTTCACTCCTATAATGTCAGCCACACTCTAAACGGGAAAAGACAAGTGTAGATGTTTCAGGCACAATAACGGATTCGTACCTACACTGTTAAATTCCTACAAAGCAATAATGTGGTATAGGTACTACTTGCATCTAGGTATAGACAAATTTGTATCTAATGGAGATGTTTACAAGAAAACATCGAACGTAGATGCCATAAATGCTTCTCCCTTTTTAGAGTGCTGGGCGTCTCCTTGTGAACGCCTGATGTAACACTAAAGGCACCTATCGGCGGATGACACACCGGCGCTGCCGGTGAGAACGATGACGTCCGCCAGTGGCAAATGGCGACTGCCTCTCCTTGCACCCCCATACCCTATACTTATACTCATCTCTCCTGTTTCTGCCTCTTTTCCTTTACTCCTCTCCTCTTTTCTCTCCTTTCTCCTCTTTCTCCTTCTCTCCTCTCCTTCCTCTCCCTCTCTTTTCTCCCTCTCTTTTCTCCCTCTCATGTACCTACCTTGTATAGATTTGTACCTGTGCGCGTGCATCGCGTGGACCATAGTTTGGGCGCCACTGGGATTGCCCTGTGCAGTGGGTGGGTACTGTACACCAAAAGATACGGCACTGTGGTGTGAAGCGCGCTGCGAGATAACGACACAACTAAGTTATTCCCCTGCATCAATGCTCGGCGTAGTTGATCTGAGTAGCGGCAGTGAGTCGTGTCACCGATGTGCTCGGGGAGTGGACTGCTTGGCTGTCCTCCAAGCACAAGTGTTGTGCAAAGCGTGCTGGGTCCTGGTTAGCTCTCCAGTGAGGCAGTTGGAGCCAAGTTTGAAGAGAGACAACAGACTAGTACTCAGAAGAGTTTCCCGGGATGTATGTGCTGCTGCTGCAGCTGCCTAGCCGGACTGACTATTTCCTCCGGTAAGTGCCGTTATAGTATCATAAGGGAGTGGGACACTAACTGTCAACAGCCTCGCAATAGCCCAATCACCTTTACAGTCAGCTAAATTGTGAAGTCGTAAACTCTCAACGCCTTCATTTGATCGCAAGATGGGGGTACCGAAATTATCAGGGGTACGGCGGAGGCGGTCATCTAAAGATTTATTATCAGTACTTGCATGCGCCATGATTGGGACAGGTCAATTACTCAATAATGAGAGTAGTGCTTTCTGGAGAGGCTGCTGTACGTGGCTGAATATTTTGCCAGTTTCCTTTGCGATGCGGCCACGTATCGTGACGAGGAGGGGGTCGTTCGTTCAAGATGTGTCTTTTCTACAACCTTTCATTGGAACTTCCTCCGATCAGCCGAAGTTCGGAAAACACCTTGCAACTGCGAACTGCGCTGCAGCGCTGGTTCGGCCACCTGCTGCCGCGGATGGAGCGGCAGGGCGTAGCTGGGGTATTTTAAAATCACCGTAAAAACGATGGGCATGTAAAAAGAGCGCCGATGATCGTGGAATGAAGGCCCTTCGTATATGACGAGACGAAGCGTAAAGGAATCGTGCTCTGGGCTTTTATATGCTGTTGCGTGGTCAGAAATGCGATTTTGAACAACTTTCTGCAGCAACGCTCCGCCACCCTGACCACGGCAGCAGGTGGCCGAATCAGAACTGCAGAGCAATGCCTGGGCGTTTTCTACACTGGAAAAACAAAGGTGCTATATAGCACCCTTTTTAGGGTGCTATTGAATTTTTAGGGGTGCTACTGAACTAGTGCCTTTGTAGAGGCACGACTTATGCCAAAAATAGCACCTTTGGGGGCAGTAGCACCTTTCTAGAGGCACTATTTCACTAACGCCTTATAAGGCATTAGATAGCATCTTTTGTTTTTCCAGTGCACACTTCGGCTGGTCGGAGGAAGTTCCAATTTTGAAGGGTCATCGAAAAGATTTCTCGAGCGGAGGAGACCTTCCACGTCGCTAAAAGTGGCCGAGAGGAAACAAATATTTTTGCGGAGGTCTCGGTGTGTGACGAAATGTCGAATAGAGGCACTGAAATCCGAAATGCTGCCAAAATTACGACTGCTAGAGAAGAATTCTAATTCCTTACTCGTTCTTTTCCTCCACTCTCACTTAGTCGAGGTGGAAGGGGGTAGGAGTAGGAGTACTGCGCTTGGTCTGGTGTAATTTAGTCGCCCGATTCATCTCATCAACCTCAACACCTACAAGTTTGACAATTGTATCAAAATGTAGGTTTTGGTTACCTAACCAGTCAATAATAGAGTTTGTTTTCGACTCATTACGCAAAATTTAAAGAAATTTAAGAAATGACGTCGAATAAATCGGCCGTCGAGCGTTAGTTTTGGAGTAAAAGAAGAAGACTAAACAACTAAAAATACGCTGACCGGTGCCCTGTTTTGCTTCTTGTTTTAAAAAAGTGACAACATGTGCCCCACCCACCCTAGCCGACAGCACTGAGTCAGTAAACCAATCCCTACGTTATAAGAAACTTACTTGTTCGTTCTCACTCTCACTAGGAGATACTGTCTCATTCTCGGTGAAACTTGTAAGTCGTATTACACCACAATTTTGTTAACACGACTACTGTCGACTTCGACCGATGTACACGACACTTTTCGAATTTCCTCAACTTCCGATTTTAAACTTAAACTCCAAGCATAGAATAGATACTGACTAAAAGGTTCCGGGTCACAATCGCACTTATCAGTGCACTTACACACGGATGCAGTGTAAAAACCTATAACCCCTAGCGGTGCTAATCTCGCGTTTTTGCTAGATCCTCTTCATTGTGAAATTTCACCTTCTTCGCCTTAAAAATTGTTTGTACACTGGAAAACAAGTGTGCATCTTATGCAAACGTTATGTTCACTTTTCTCTAATTAGCACACTTCATGGTGTGCAAAGTTTACACGTTCGGAAAATGTGCAAATTCTGCACGCTTGGTTGCGCACTGGTCTTAGTAATAGGACAAAAAACCCATATTCAGTGTCAAAAATTGCACACCAGGTTGTTTGCAGTTGCCTAGACGTGTGCGGAGTGTGCAAAGTTTGCAAACTTCGTGATGTTCAGTTTAAGTTCGACACCAGGAAGTGTGCAAAATTTGCAAATTGAAAGTATACAACAATTGGTGTGCAAATTTCTAAATTTGTTTTACCAGTGGAGGTTTCAGGAACAAATTACAACTGAATATATTGTAAATTGTCGATTTTAAATACATGAAGGTGAAATTCTTCAGACACCAAGTCTAGCAGCTCGATTTTTTTAAAATGGGGAATAACTGATAAACAACACAGCAAATCATAAGTTTAAAATACTGTATAATTATTTCCAATTTTTATATTGGAATATGAGTTATGTGTAATTTTACGTCGATTCTTCTTTTCCAGATCACTGTGAGGATGGCTCGCCAGCCCGATGTTCTGTCAAGAAGTATACTTCATAGCAAACTGCTTCTTTCGGCTTACAAAGGCTGCTTGGAGGAAGTGAAGAGGACAATTGAAGGTGCCAATAATGTAGATCTCAAATTTGCAGACTCAAATGGAAACACAGTTCTCCATTGGGCTTGTCAGGGGGGTAGCGAGGATGTTGTTAAGTATCTGCTGAGTTTGCCATCCATCGATTTGTTCAAAGAAAATAGGGACATGGAAACAGCTTTGGATGTTCTACATAAGAACAATTTAAACATGGAATGTATGGAGGAAGCCTTACTTAGTCATGCAGTGGAGGTCAGAAACGAATTTGCGCCAAAAATGAGAGAAAAAACTTCAACTCGAAATGTCTTCGACGAAACCTGTGCTATGCCGGCTATGAAGCAGTATTGCCCGTACTCCTTGCATGATGTTCAAACTGTTCTAATCTTCCTGTGCCCACCCTCAACTGCCTGTCAAGTAAATAATATTTCGTGCGCCACGAAGTTTCCTCTGTCAGAATTCGAATTTGGACTCTTGTATCATACAGCTAGCAGAGACACGTTCTTTGAGATGAACAGTGTAATAACCGTGAGAGAGAATGTAGAAATTATTGAGACCGAAGTAGGTTCTAGCGACGCCGTAACAGAAGCATTATTTAAAGTTAGAAATGTCATTCAAAGACTGCGGGACGAAAGATTTAAAAAAGATGCAATACAAGATATTGTAAGAAGTGTTTTCGCACAGCAATTAAACGTGGAGCAACTAGAAAAGGAACAAATGTTTTTGGCTGCCATGATTAATGAAAAACAGGCAACGAATGAAAAAATTGAAAAGTACTTGAACTTTGTAGACGACGTTAAAAATAAGCATGCTACTTCGTCAACTAAATGTGCAGTTTGCCTTATATACTTCGTGGAACTGTTTGCCTGTGACGACACATTTCCAGAAGGTAAGAACATAAGACTTCCTAAAAGTGAAAAGAGGCTACTGAAAGAATTAAAGAAAAAATATTATATAAGACATTATCCTGAGATGGGCTTAATGAAAGATATTACTTGTATTCGCACGCAATTAGTTCACAAGCAAAGTAAATCAAGGGGTCTGCTTAAACCAAGTCAGCTGTTTGAAGCGTCAAGTGAAAACTATCACTGCCCTAGTAAATCTGAATGTCTAGCATTTATGCACACCTTTACAGAGTATGTCAGCAAGAGTATGCTTCATGAGCGTCAGAATTCATGTACTTCTTTCTTTAAGAAGCACGGACAAAAAGAAAACGTTTTCAAAAATCTTTCAAACAATGTTGAAGAACATCTTAAAAAGACAAAGAAAACAGATGCTGACATGCTAGTCTATTTTTGTAAGAAAGCCAATGATTTCTTGAAGAATGTACGTGATGAAGTGCTGTATGAGCTGCTATTTGAATTAATTGTTAATGTAGGGCCCCAATTAGGAGAATACCAGATGCTCAGTGAACTGCGCAATACCATTGTACATGGTTTTCACGATGAAACGGTGTCAGGGTTAAGGAAGAAATTGCCCCAAGTTATGCGAAAATTGTACATACATCATTTGGCTGAAAGGGTGGGCAACGAATTACTCAAAATGAGAGATGAGAGGGAAAATTGTGAACTAAATACTACTTTTTCCAAAGAACTGGAAAAGTTAAATGAAAATTTTAAACACTGGCAGTCCTCAGGTGGATCTTTTCAGGGATTGAAGTGGTGGGACGACGACAGCTTGGAGTCCAATATCCAGTTGTACGTAATGTGCCTGTCAGATGTGTTGGATTGTCCAGGGAATGATAGTGACAACATATTGAAATTAGATTCCAGAAGAGTGGTCGGTGGTGATCACGTTCATTTAAAAGTTATCTTTGAAAATATTCTTTTTCTCCGTCGGTCGCATTTAAAGGACCAAAATATGCCTAATCTCGAGCAAAGTCTCATAAAAGAGCTATGTACTCAATTTTCATTAACCATGACAGAGGCAGGTAAAGTAATTGGCCGTATTAAGAATGAAAAGATAACTGAAAACAAAGAAAATGAGAATTTCTGCAAAGAAGTGACAGACATCATACGTTCTTTGAGAATTCTTAAACATCCATATTCAGTAAGTACCCGCACCTTTACAGATGGCGATGTTTTCTCACTCTTTAACGCGGTCATGAAGGGGGGCAACATTAACGAGCTCAGAAGTTACCTTACAAGTTACAATTTAACTGAAAGGGAGAAGGACACAGTTACTGACGTCTTGTTTAAAGTTTACACCCAGATGCAAGAAAAAGTAGTTTTATTTTCAGGCGAAGTAGTTGTAGTAAGTGTTAGTAGTGTCGTTTCTCACTTGCTTGGATTAATTAAAAACATGGAGCCAGTCAAATGCAAACTCGATGACTTATCCACAGCTTTTCGTGACCAATTGTTCTTAGAATCTCTCTCCAAAATGTTACACTATGTCCCAAAGGAGCAAAACTGTCCCAAAGAACTGATAGAATTCCGCCTTTATAAGGTTATACGAGATGTGCACTCTCTGGATTATGCAGCACCTCTTATAGCACGGATACTAGCTGAGGAAAGGGATACAGTTGTAGAGTGCAAAACCGTAGAAACAATCATTGCTGTGTTTTTGAAAACAGAAGACACAATTTCTCTTACAAATCTACTGAGTACAAATAGTAAAATGCGAACGGGAGCATTGGTCAAAACTATCAGTGAACAGAACTGTTCTAGGGAACTACTCGCCAAGGTTATAAAGTGTATCTGTCCTGACAAAATTAGCTTTTTCTTCGAATCAATAATTGATAATCGTACAGTCGAGAACGTCTTAGCTGCTTCAAACAATGTTATTTTCGACTTACTTGGGGACAAGGAGTTTGAACGTTGTTCAAAAGTTATAGAATGTGCTACACAGCTCGAATTAAAGGTACCACAGACTAACAAGTCTCTGAGTCTCGACAGAGATTTACTTCATGCTAATTATTTCCACGTACGTGGTTTACGAACCGAAAAAGACGGCAATACAGTGTCGGTAACCGGTTCTGAAACCAATAAAGGGCTGTTCCATAAGGCTAAAGAAGTATTGGAGCGGGTGAGAAAGGCTTCTTCAGATTACCCACTGCAGCATATGCTTTCTATATCAAAATTAGGGTACATCAATTATTTGCTGGGTAAAAATAAAATGAAGAAAAACAAAAAGAAAGAACATTATGTGAAAGCGAGGAACTATGCTGAAGAATTATTTGGGGTACTTCTTAAATATTTGTGGCCATCGAATAAACATGATGACGATGACCCCAATATTTTTACTAAATATAATGCCTTGTTGGGGCTGGCAGAAAGTTCACAAAAATATCAGCGCCTACTAGAGTTGGGAAAGGATTATGAGGAAAACCTCAATATATCAAGGGTATATAGGGATTATCTTTTCTACAAACTGCTATCATTGGGTCAAGAGAAGACAACATCAGAAGAAAGAAGGAAACTAATAAAAGAGTATAACACTCTGAACAAACAGTGGGAGCACCGAGTACCTTTCCCATTTTCAGAAATTTATTTTCTGAAAAGGAAAATTCAAATTTTTGAACGTTCAAACTCTGAGTCTGATATGATAAAGACGATTGAATTAAAAGTAAAATGCCTAAAAGTTGTAGGCGATCGTCTTGGTTCGTGTTCATCAACTGCAGCGGAGATGTTCGATTCCCTAGAAAACGATCTAAAAAATACAACACGAAAGGCCGCGATAGAAAGTATTATGGTTAAAAGTGCAAAACCATTTAGGACGGTTTGTTGAAAAGTGAAATTGAAATCCCTTAAGGCTACCAATTCAAACAAATCTAAACACCATACACTGTGAAAACTAGTAGTAGATTTTACAGGAAAATTTTCCCTGATGTGTATCGGCAAATCACAATTCAAAATTGTAAAGTTATAAGCACTTCCCATTGACTTGGAATTTATGAAAGAGCCAGGATGGGCACTCCCAAATTTACAGCATTCTTTGTAAATCAAAATTAGAAAAAAATGTTGTAAATTTACGGCATTATTTTTTACAGTGTACGTTGGTACGAATGGCGCGTGTGCGCGCGTGCGTACACACTTACGCACCTTGTTTTGCGTAGCTGCTGCGAAAATTATAATTGCAGACAAAGAAATTCAAGCCACTTAAAATAAATCCACATCCTGGTATATGGGATATCCAAGGCCAAGGAAAGTTGCAACAAACCGTCCCTTGTGATAATTTAAGCTCCTACACTAGGTGCCAATCAAGCATTGCCGATTGGGGTCACTATTACAGATCCCTAAATGTATATATAGCCTGTATTCGAATGTGAATAAACTAGTCGTCAGTTGGCAACCACCGTGTACTCGTCACTCAACCCGAGTCCTCTCTTCTCGATCACACGGACTAAAGTCGGTGAGGCTAGAATCGAGACACCACACAGTGGCAACAAGGCTGTCCGCATGTGCTCGTAGAGGTATTAACTCAAGCAAAGTACTGTTATCTAGTCCATGCGCTGCTCCTGCACTCTAAAAACAAAAGAACTCACACACGGAAAATAGGCAGCTATAGATAGTGGTAGATGGTCTGCCCGTTCGTCTTTCCGGCCTATAGCTAGACGTCTACAGAGCGTTTAACATCACGTAAAAGTTACCTATACCGTACCGTGTGTCCGGGTCACGACACAATGGTATGCTGGCTTGCCTACTCGCTGTCCCCGTAAGGCACCACGGGCCCTAAGGTATGCAAACCCACAACGCTGTTGTGTCGTGGCTTTGACTAGGCTGTCCCAGCCAAAAGTCAAGTTGCCGCTATCGTCGCTCCCTGGGTCGGAATCGATTCTTGGGACGAAAATAAGGTTTACTTTACGTGTCTCGGGAATTCTGGTTTGTCTTTTATCGCCTCGAATTCCAGTTGCACGGAAAAAAAGGATTACATGTGACAGCTCATTTGTTCGCTGGTGTGCGCGCAGCGAACATTTTAGCAATTGTAGTTGGAACGACTAATGCGGCACTAGTGAAAAATATTGTTTTATGTATTTTTATGGCAGTTTCCAACTTTTTCACGATTTTTGTCGGCCATCTTTGATTATTTCTAAACTCGTGTTGATATTTTAGCTGTGACGCGATTTTTCGAAGATTTCAGCTTGAAATTGAGGCGATTAAAAACGAACCGGAAGACCTAAAACAGACATAAATTCTGACTCGTATCGATGTCAGGATCAAGAAAATGCCTGAGTTGGGAAGATCGGCTTAGAACTTTAGATTTTACACGGAGTTAAAGGCGTTTTAGCGCCATTTTGGACTTAAACCGACTGACGCCACACCTTAGAATGGGGGTTCTCTACAAAAGGAAAAAATACGTGTCCTCTTATTTTCGGTCTTCTATCTAATTCTGATGAGCAGTGCCAGTCCTGAAACTTCAATTTATTTTTGGGCCACCCCCACCCTACACACGGTATTTAGTTATACATGCACAGCAGACATTGATAGAAGGTCTTCAAATATCATATCTGATCTGGGTAAACCTCTGTCGACTTCTGTATATCTGTAGATCATCTACCAAAAGTCTATGAAGTTTTGATCTAATACGACTAGTAGACATCGTTCCTACCACCTACGTCTCCTACGAGCTTGGAGCTCTTGTCACATACTCAGAAAACGAACTTTTGATTGCACGTCAAAAAGCGCTTTCGCTTTTTCACTGGAAATTTTGAATCTCATGTACAGGTGAACTCAGGGAATTACCTTGAATACACGAAAGTTTTCCTATAAGGGTGGTCCACAGACCCCTTCCCTTATTTTGCTTATACTGTACCGCATGCAGGTGTGCGGGCGGGCCTGCCTACCGTCGATACTGTGGCGCCCTATGGCCCCGTGCGAGTATGCAACCCGCCCGCCAGCCTGCGTGCGGTACAGTTTAAGCGAAATAAAGGAAGGGGTCTGTGGTCCACCCTGCTGTACATCAAAGGCAACAAGCAGGCCCGCCTTCCGCCAAACGGAGTTGCCAGCTGCACTTCGTTCGCCGGCAACTCCGTTCGGCAGGGGCCGGGCCTGCTTGGCCTGCCGGCGGCGATGGTCGGGCCTTCGCGGCCCGACCATTTCAGTCTCGCGATTTACTGAAGTGAATAATCAAACAAATAATGTGACCTGTAAATTACTTTGCATATTTAAGTAAACTAAAGCGTCCGGCGGGGGGCCTGTGGCCCTAGAACTTTGCTCCTTGGACATGACAAAAGACTGTAACGGGGCAACACCGTGACTACACCCCACCCTTCTGCTTTGCTTAAGAATTTAAAAAAATGAACCCACGCAGTTTCTAGATTGTATATTGTTTGTCAAACAGTCTTAAAACTTGACTTTTTGTCATTGTTCTCAAAATATCCACCTCTAGGGCCGAAACAGTGAAAGATACGGCAAAACCGAGGGTAGCATCTGATTCAGAATGTGTTGTTTAGGGGGAAACTTCCCCTGACATTTTACGATTGGACGCCTCCTTGTGTACGTCTTTAAGTGCAACGTGGTCATTTTCGCCGTATTATCGTCGAAAAAAGCACTCTAGCGCCCAAACGGTGCAAGATAGAGTCAAACGGACAAAGTTTTCGCCCCAAGAGCTCTACTTTCACGAGTTACCCCTTAGGAGACCATAAAAAAATATTTTTTCCTACTTTTTGGGACAACCCTTATTTCTTTGTTACCACCTTTCACCCCCTTAGGGGTGGTTGCCAGGATTTGCACCAGGCGTTTCGCTGTCCAGCAGTGACCCCTAAGATACCCTGAAATTTGTAGACCTCTAGCTCATCTCCTTCCTCTTACACGGACGGCAGACAGACAGACGGACACTAGAGCGGTTGCATAAGCCCGCTTTAATGCTTTTTTAAAAGCAGATGAAGGGCGGGCTAAAAACCGACAGGGAAGTGCTCGGTCAAAAGAGACCCGGCTGGGATCGAACCCGAGCTTCGCACGCTGTCCCCATGGCCAGAGCGGACGGCTGTCGATCGGATCGACTTTCGCGTCGCCCTGCATAACAATAATAGGCCACCGACGCCGGCCGCTTTGCTCTACCGGCCCCTTATCTCCTCCCTGTACACCGCTACTACGCCGAATTACATCGCAAGTAAGAAAGCAGCCATAAACAAAAGACAGCTAAATATGAGAAAGCATTTTTGCCCCCCCCCCCCAAAAAAAAAACACGACCGGACTGTAATAATTCCGAAAGAGTCCACAAGGCATTCCTGTATCCCCGGGCGCCGCCTGTTGACTGAAGGGTAGGCAGCCCATTCTACACCATCTCAGTCTGCCGGGGCGGGTAAAAAAAAAAACGCCCCCAAAACGGACACGAGGGGATGGAGATGGAGTGGGAGCCCGAGCCCCCCCCCCCCCCAAGTTCCTCAACAAGTTTTTATTACATGTTTTTAGCAGATATGATACCTTAAAGTGCTTTTGACTAAACGAAAAGCATAATTAAGTAATTTTAAGGTGTCAGCTAGCTTTTACTCTCGCTAAGGGCAGAGAACCAAGCGCTTGACGTCACCCAGATCTTGGACGAATGTCGTCCAAGCCCAGATGTATAAGGGGCGCGAGAAGTCGCCGGCTCCGCCCGTTCCCACCAACAATACTGCGTCAGTCAGACCTCCTCCTTCCCCCTCCCCCCACCGCATGCCTGGGCTACGGACACAACAATGCGCTGCAACATCAGGTACAGCCTTGGAAACTAGGATATGTAAAAAATTGAAGATATTGTATCATCTGCTTTCACGATACGTCCCTCGACGTAGCTTTTTTTTTTGACGAATGTAACTTACTGGGTGATTTGGCTGTTACACATGTTTCAAAATGAACCATCTTTGTTTATAAGTCTTCTTAAACTTCTCAGAATAAACAGCTAAAAAATATAGGAGACGGTTTTGGGTCTGTACCAATCAATTAGAAATAATTGGGCCAGTACTAAATTTGAATTGCCTTCTCTTTGATCAAGCTGAGTCGATACAACAGGTAAGTATGCACATGCCATACATCTGAGTTGATATCCTTAGGGAATAATTAATTACTTATTCTGTCATGTACTCTTCATGATGAAGGCAGATTATTACTAACCCTGCTGGTTATTTATCAACTATTATAGGGACTGCCAAAAGGGTTTCTGTGTCATACCTTTTATAAACACAAACTGCCCTTTAAATTGACGTACAATTGTTTGCTTTCAATGGCATATTCTAATCAAGTCACCCGCGTGTTAAGCCAACCTTACAGATGTAGCATACAAGAGCAGGCGTTGTGGAAAATTTACATTTCTCAGCGGATTATATATTTTACCACTTCTTGACATTTTGTTCTTTGAAAATAGACAGTATGACAGTTATCTAAAGTCTTGTTGTTTTAGGGAACACTTAACGTCTATGAATACTTAAAATATTTGGGGAGGAATAATTTTCATGACGAAACAAAATTGTTATCCCCTGAGACATCAGGGCACGTCAAATGATATTTTCGAGCCATCATTTCTGACAGTCAAGATGAGTAAATTTTGACCAGTGACATATCAAATTGATATCATGAGAAAGGTTTGGCCTTTGGGACAGCAAATCTGTTAAATCAATGTGTTATCACAACTTAAGAAGAAATATTAATTGCATGAAAAACACACTCTCAGACCGTTACTGATTTTATTCTAAGTGGGTGACAAATATCTTTGTGCAGCAGTAGTTACTCACAAAATTTGTGAGTATTACGGAGGTACAGAGAAGTTTGTCTTTCTTTACAAATTGTAACGGTCTGGCGCACACTGAATGTTTTTGACAAGGGCTAAAATACACAGTAGAGAATGCAGCAGGTAAAGAAGCAGAATTTTTTAACAATAACTTATACTGACCCTTAGGAATTCATATAAGTTTCTGAAGCTGAACACCATTATGATTGCTTTGGTTGTGTGAAATAGGAGCATAGATAAGTTGTATAAATTTCCAGTCAAAAAGCAAGCAGTATGCCACTGACTTGGTTTTACTTACAACAGCTGACAGCTGACAGGTGCAAATTTGAGTTGTAGAGAAAATGGGGAAGAAAACAACAGCCACAGGTAGAAAGAGTATGAAAAAACAGTGAAAAGCAATAAGGCTTTTCTTTGGTCTCTTCGCCAACCAGCAGAACGCAACACGCAAGGCTGACAACCCAACAACCCAAGATGACAAATGTTCCTCAAAACACTCTCAACGTTGCGTTGGTCTCATGCCGAAATTTTTATAAAACCTGATCGAATGTACGGCCTGAAGAATGTATGAATTTCCCTTTAAGTAAGCATGTGAACAAATTTCGTTGTCCAACAAACATAAGGTGCACTAATGGGTTATGTCGGGTTGGCAGTACACCCTGCTTCCCCTACTTCCTCACTCGCCACTCCAACACGCACCCTCGCCTCGCCATTCGCATGTCGCAAACTGGCGCAACAACAAGCACGCACCGCACCGCACACATTGGCCAGAGGCGACAAAGGTTCAATCGAGTTTGAACCTACGGTGAGCCCGACGACCTTGTTTATTATGTTCGTGTTTTGTTTGTTTTTCTTGCGGAGTGCTCCATGTAACCTAGTCCATGCGTTTGTTTTCTGTGGTATGCCGGCATCATAACCTAGCCAACATGATGCCAAACGTTGTGGTTTGTGAGTTCAATCTCTTTTGTATCGATTTTTCAACCGGGCAGTTCGTGACGTGAAGTTAGCACTTTATTTCACCCTCTCGTGCCCGACTTGTCACGTTCTTAATGAAAATATTTCGTTGAGATTGCGATGCTCTCCCACATTCATTAAACTGCTCTGTGCCTAGTTCTACAGCTTTCTTTTTTTCTCTTTCGCAGTCAGTGTTTGGCTGCTGGTCCTGCCTAATCTATGGTGGAGGCAGCTCTGCCATCGCCAGGCAGTGCCTGCCCAGTGGACCTACAGAGCAAAATGGGTTCTGAAGCTCAGAGGAAACTTTTCCAAAGGCGCCCGAGGGAGGCGCGTGCAATCCTCCGAGATGCTCTTCGACGAGAAATCGCAGCTGTCCGCCATGCAGTCGAGGCCTTCAAGGCTGGCAGTATGGTGAGTTACGTGGGCCTAAATGATCTGAACCTGCACGCTGGAGATGTAACGATCCAATAGCAGGTTTCGCCAAGCTCAAGAGGTACTTCAAAAAGCCACCTTTATCTAGCCATTCAGAACACATTTGTTTTCTTTAAAGTCTTACTTTTTCAAACTGATAAGAAAACAAAATCTTGCTCTCCACATGGAACTTTTCACGATCTGATAAATTTTGGTGTAAAACTAAAAATAAATGTCAAAGACATATAGTTCACATGGTTTACCCATTCTCACTTATGATCACAAAATGTTAAGTTATCGAGTAGAATGTCGTATTTATATGAACTCTTGATTGCCCACTGGCTTTTTTCGTTGGAAGAAGAAGTTCATGTGGAAGGTTGTTTTGCCACTGACTTGGTGTTTCTGTTGTAGCATATATGAAAATTGTACTTATTTGAATATTTAACAAGTTTTGTTTGTCTTAGTAGTGAAATGAAGGCCATGCTTAAACTGAAGTGGTAAATGTTGCATATTTTCTTATAATAACATTTCAATATGCTTTAATTTTTTATTAATTTCAGACCAAGCGTGACCGATACAATTACATTTGGTCTAAAATTAATCGTATTACCTATAGAGAGCTTCCATTTAAATGCACACACTATGCCAACATGATTATTAGAGGTCCACAGGTATATGTGCTTACCTCACAAAACTAAAATAAAATTGACTCTTTCTATGTGAGCATTTGTGTTTTGTGCCTGAGACCAACTAGAAAAAATAAATAGTAGCTTTGTGAATCTAATGAACAGAGTCTGAAAGTAATATTCTTGGTTCTATATTTTATCTTAATTTGGAAAGGTGACTTACTACCTATGAGTGAATTCCTACAATTTTTAAAGAAAAAATGTTTGCTTGTGTGATGGTAAAAATTGACTTTGATCTCAGTACTACTGCCTTGGTATTGAACTGCAGTGGTGAAGGTACATAAATATGAGAGTAGCAGCAAGTGCAAACAGGCAATGTATTTTTCTGTTCAATTCCTTTTATTTCATTTGCATTTTAGTTAAATTAATCATTGGGAGAACTGCAGGGATGCAAGAAATATTTCATTCTTAATGATAGGCAATATTCATTCTTAGTGTGCTTTTACATATGTGCTGATGGGCATACTCCCTGTCTCAGACTGGCAGGGTAGTAGATTTAATATAGACTGAGCTATGTGACACTCATTTGCGCTATTTCCACAGGTTCCTCTGGATCGCCAGGTACCATATGTTAACCAAGCAGTCAACATACTTAAATCCCAGAGCAGCGAGCTGTCACTGAAAGTAAATACTTCCACCTCAACAGGGGAAGACAAGTTGATGAAAGCTCAGGTGTGGCTCTCTGATAACAATTGTAGCCAGCAGGCTGAAGTAGCACGGCTGGCCCTGTACCTGCTGCGCACTAAAGGACGACTATCTAAGGTAACTTTTTCTCAGGAATTGACAAATATGCTTCAGTGGGGAGGTTGTAGAGTTTTTACTCAACTTTTATTTTAAGTTGTAAAAGCAATAACAATATAAAGTTAACCAGAATATCTTTCTCTCTTAATTATTTTCTTATTGTTATTTTTGAAGTTGGTTATCAGCTATTTACTGGTATTCTTTCCATCGGTCTTGTTGCAGGTTGAAAACAGTTCAGACTCTACTAGGTTTGATATTGGTGTAAATCTGTACAATTCTGATAGCCATGAAATGACAAGAGAAAAACGAGAGTACCTCGCAAATAATGAGGAACTTTGTATGGTAAGTTTCTTGCTCATCTGCTCACCAAATCTATATCGTATAATTTAACATATACTATGTGAATCTTTGCGTCATTCTTTCCTATTATTATTCTTGTAAAAATGTTTTATAGTAAAATAAGAGAAAGTCTCTTGGCAGTCTTCTATTGATCAATTGATCTACAAAATCTGTTTAAAGAGAAGTTCCGGGGAGAAAATTTCTCCTTTAAATTCACAGTAGATGTTTTTGACGGGTCCATTGAATGCCTAAACTAATTCACACCATTTTTTCCTCTTTTTTATAAGAATAAGGGGAATATTTTTTGAAATTCTCTTTAAATATACCTGACATCTGAAGACTGTTTTAAAGACAATGAAAAGATTTTTATCTGTTATTTGCAGGCTAAGAAAGTAAGATCGCTATGCTGTTCAAAGGATCCTGAATGGACTGCACGACTCTTGCAGGTCATTGCCCCTCGCCTAGAATGGATTACTGTTAATAATATTGGCCCAGAGCACATGCGTATTCTGTCAACAATGCCAAGGTAGGTTTCTTGAATTGTAAGAGTTCTGTCAAAATTAGAAATGCATCTCAGCCATGTATTTCTCATCTTGATTTTGAAGAACCACAAAATTTTATTTATGCCCAATTTTGAGGTATTCTTTGAAGTTTAAGGAATTTAGATGCCATAATTCGAATATGCAAGAGCAACTGAACCTAATTCAAGTCATTATCCGGTTCGGATTCAACCATAAAATCTGAAGGGACGTTTTTTGTCCCACCGAAGTTGCATTTTGGTGCACATCTTAATCAGATGCAACTCTGAATCTTACCAGTTTCAAGTATGCATCCTTGCGATATTCAAATTTTTGTTTTGTCCATGTTAGAGCTACAAATTCGTTATTTGTAATGTACAATATTGCATTTTGTCAAGATATGCATCTATTAAGGAACACATTAATCTAAGATTACAACATCTTTTAAAATTTTTAAAAAGCCCCCATGACAGTCTGGGTGTTAAAATTGAGGTACCACAATTCTTTTTTCCCAAAAAATGATCTTTCCTTTTGTCTTTTGAATTGCTAACAATGGTTGCATTGTGCAAACTTAAATATTGTGGGACTTTTTAATGTCAATTACTCAACACAGTTTTAAGCACATCTGAAGCAAATGAAAATCCGCCTTCTTTGCATATTTTAATTGACAAAACTAAAAATTGTCCATCAGGATGCAGAAGGATGCAAATTTGTGAGTTGCAAGCTGCTAGCATGCATCTGATCAAGGTGTGCTTAAAAATTATTCTTTTATGGCCTATTGTGCACCACAGGCTGCGAGTAAACTTTGAAAGAACTGTTACAAGTGTGGAGAATTTTGCAAAGCTTTCTTTTTTTTTTTTTTAAACTCCCTGCGGCTAGAAAAAGCCAGTAGCCCACCAGGCTTCAGACTTCAGGTCTGGACAGTCTTCTGACCTGCTCCGATATCAATTGTGTGCTGGAGATCCATCGTGGGGTACTCTCTAAATGTCTAAGGACAATTATTGTTACTAGCACCGGTCTTCATTGTGCATAACCGAGTTCCAGGTAGATACAATACTGTATGTACCAATACATTCTAAATCTGAAAAGAGTTTTATTGTCCATAGAATATTTCGTTGTTGTGCATATCTCAACCTGATGCTGATCTGAATCTACCACGTAACAAATTTGCATCCCTTTAATGGACAGTTATTTTTTGCACACCAAAAAAGATGCAAACTTGTCACTTGCTAGATTCAAATTTTCACTGGTTCAGGTTCAGATGTTCACAAAAATGCTTCCTTCTATGGGCAGTAAAATTCCTTTCAGATTTAGAGTTTACACATTTAATATCTAGCTAGTTACAATATTGTACCTAAACTCAGTTACGCACACAGCAGTCCGGTGCTAGTTACAACAATTATCCTTAGATATTTAGAGCGTAGCGCCAATACTAGCCCGCTTATTGTTTACTGCGAATGTGAAGGGACAATTTTCTTCCTTAAAAGGCAACCACCTTTAACCTTGGATGATTTGTGAGCCATGTTACGCTTGCACCAAATTCTCCGTAGGCGAGTCCACAAGGTAATGAGAGAAGAATTAAAACAAGCTATTTATTTTCAGACTTCGCCGTCTGAGGCTCTGGTTAGCAAATGATGATTTCGCGTGGGACGACCTTGGCCCTTTTCAATGGGACGATGAAGGACGCTTCAATGTGGCAAATAACGATCCAAAAGACTCAACCAGACCGTTTTGGTTTGAGGAACTGTCTGCAGACTCAACCGCGGGCATCGTACGACTGAAGGTTTGTTTTCCATAACAAAATTATTCTGTATCAGTCAGGGTTACCTGTGAAACCAAGTGTGCAACTTGGCTGCACCTACAAGTTGTCGACTTGCAGGTGTACATAGCTGTACACTTGCAATTGTTCAACTCTTCCTCTACCGGCTCTCCGCCGGTGGCGGCGCGCACGGGGTTGATTCGCCGGTGAACGCCCTTGTCATCGTAAGCGGGACAAGTGCATCCTATGCGTCATTGGCGTAGTTCGTGTCCAGGGTGTGAGTGAGCACGGCTGGGTACAGCGTGTCTGTGGGGCTGGTCGCGGACATTTTGTGGCGGCAATGCTCCCAGACAATGAGGCATATCGCCCTGCCTGAGTTGAACCTTCACGAGGAACTTTCAGGCCTTCCAATTTTTGTGTCCCTTCAGTTTTTCGCCTTGTGTCCGCCATTCTTTCAACTGTGGAACGGTTCTGCACTTACATTTGCGGGGCACTTGAGACAACTACCTCATTTCTGCTTGACTCGCGTTTCCTTGGGATGCGGTGGACCCTTCTGCCTCTAAGGCAGCCTGGGCAGTAGGGTAAAATGCTACCTTCCCCTCTGACTACGAGCTTACTGCAGCAGCAGCTTCTACCCCTGGAGAGAGGTATGTTCTCCTCGTTGATCCCGATCCTGAATCTTCTTGGCCTGTGCGGAAATGAATTCACTCTACATGTAAAGGAACTTTTTTTTGTACCTTAAACTAGCAACAAAATGTTTGTCCATAGCCGCAGACAAGAGATCTATGGACAAAAACGTGTCATTTTAAAGACAAATTGTGTCATTGGAAGGGACAAAATGTTCTTTGAACAAATTGTCCCCTCCTTGGAAACAAATTTGTTGCGAAAAAGGGGATGGATTTAAATGTCAACTCGCTGGGACAAATGTTTTGTCCACGAAACAGGAAACAAGTTTGTCCATGAGGATAGAACAAAATTGAAATTTGTCCTCTCTAACGAAAGAATTTTGTAACTTGTAAATCCGGTCCCTCGTTATGGACAAAATTGTTCTTTTACATTTAGAGTGAACATGCATATTGGGGTTGCTTTTAGAGCAAGCAGGCACACTTAGGTGTGGATAAAAAAAAATCAAAAAAACAAAAAAACAACAACATTGTCAGTCCGTGTCGTCAAGTTTAGGGCTTAAATGCATCACCATGAGCAAAAGTACAAGTAAGCATGGGTATCCCTGAAAATCCCAAGTTAATGGCTTTAAAAGAGTTGGAGTTGGACCTTTAAAGAGTCAGATACCGAGTGTTGTCGCGTTTCCTGAACACACGCATGCACAGTTCAAAAACCGCTTCTTAATGTCAGAACAAGCGAAGGCACCTCGTGTAAATAATTACCTGATTTTGTTTTGCTTTGTGAGTTGCCGACAACGGCCCCTGTCGCCCACAATCCCCTTGACTTGAACAATCATTTAATTAATTCTTTAATAGCAAGTTCCTTTTCCATAAAGACTAGAACGTTGTAAAATTTCAATTCATATTTCAGCAACGGATTTGAATTTGAAAATATCTGTGTCAATCTGTGGGTTTAGGGTATGTATGCAAAATCCTAATTTTTCCGAAAAACCATACTAAAGACGTCATGCTCGCAAAATTTGTACATGTTTCTACACTAATTTGCTAGTTTATTGCAGGCCAAACCATCATACTTGTTTGTCTAGTTTCAGAGACACTTTCTGTACACTAAATGGTTAAGGACAATCTTGTATCTAGGAGAGGTGCGTTCTTACACTGATATATAAAGTGTGCAACTGACACACACTTTAAAGTGTTTAACACTGTGTGGCATACTTCTATGTGTGCAACACTAGTTTTGAATAGTTGGAAGTGTTCAACAGGTGTGTTGCACACTTTTTAGTGTTCAACTTGAGCGTTGAGCTAAAGTGCTCGACGGTCAGGTTGAACATTTAAAAGTGTGCAACACACCTGTTGAACACTTCCAACTATTCAAAACTAGTGTTGCACACATAGAAGTATGCCACACGGTGTTAAACACTTTAAAGTGTGTGTCAGTTGCACACTTTATATATCAGTGTAAGCACATCTCTAGCGGATGCAAATTTGCACGTAAATTAGCTACAAATAAAGTCATTTGTACCTAGTCTAGGTAAAGTTGTAACTTTTTAGATACAAATTTGCATCCGCTAGAGATGTGCTTAAGAACTCATCTCTCCTAGATACAAAATTGTCCTTTCCCCATTTAGAGTGACAAATTAATCATATTCACCAACTTACCTCCTAAAATAATCCAACTATGACAACACACAGCTTGTTCACAATTATTATTTTTTTCTCCAGGCGGATATGCCGAGGCAAGTTATTTTGCCTCTCATCGTTCAACATAGGCGTACGCTGCGTGAGCTGACCCTGGATGTTGCTTTACCACCCCAACCCGGACAAGAGTTTGTAAGTATTTTCAATTCCTGCTGCATTAAAATCCTGCAAAGCAACGCTTTGCAGAACTGCGAAGTATTTAGATCCTTTGTAGTTACAAAGCATTTACTTTGCAGTTACAAAGTGATGCTTTGCAATTTGCAAAGCGATGCTTTTCAGCGTGTTTTCATTGCTTCGCAATTACAAAGCAGCACTTTGTAATTGTAAAGTAAATGCTTAGTAATTACAAAGGATCTAAATACTTTGCAGTTCTGCAAAAGCGGCTTTGCAGGACTTTGACAGTGCATAACTACAAAGGATTTTGATTCTTTGACTACGTAGCATTTACTTTCCAATTACAAAGCGATGCTTTGCAATTGCGAAACAATGCCAGCGACGCTTTACATATGCTGCAAAACATTGCTTTGCAGGAATTTAGCAGTGTGTCTACTAGTTCTCACAGATGAAACGCAAGAACTTTGCTGTCGAACATCTGCTTGGTACCTTTTAAAGCAGAACTCATGAGGGACGTTTTCAGTAACTGATTTGACTATTCAAATAGGACGAATTTTTGTGCACATCTTGACAAAATGCAATTTTGTACAGGGATGGAAACGGTAATGAAATTATACTATCGCCTTTTTGGCTCCTGTTCAAGAGCTATGCGACTTAATTAACTCTCGACACCGTGCATAGGTAGAGTAGAAAAGAATTCATATGATCCCATCAGTGTTGTTCGCAATATGTGCTTAATCTAGGAGTTGTGGCAACTTTTATCTGAGAAATTAAATTACCGGCACCCTAATATAATTTCTTGCGAAAAAGTGGCCACATCTACCCAGAAAGGCAAATATTGTGGGCAACTCCGTTTGGCTGGGATAGAGCCTTTTCTAATCCAAAAGTTCATCAAGGCCCATAGCTTTTGAACAGGAGCCGCACTCTGAAAGGGGAGGGACAATTTCTGTACCTAAGTTAAGATGTGTCCTTGTGCACATCTTCATCAAATACAAATTTGCGCAAATTTGCCTGTACGGAGGAACAAATTATATTGAGGCTAGGTACAACTGCTTTATATTGTATGTAACGTATATACGAGTTTGTACCTGATTTAAATGTGCTGAAATACATCTAGCCTACGTACAATAATTGTTCCTCGCCATTCAGTGTGTGGTTGAAAGATGTGCTTAAAAGTACATCTTTCTAGGGGGAAATGGCCCTTCACTTTAAGTGTGCACACGCTAAATATGAAGGGATTTGTTTGTCCCTTGAAAGTGGCATTTTCGAAATGCAATGTGTGGCACAAATGACAAATGTGCATCCTTCCTTGCAATGGTCAAAACTAAAATGTGTCCATTACGAGGGTCCATAGTTCACAACAAATTCCAATGGCCTTTTTTGTCCACAGCAAGATGCGTTTTTAAGCATATCTTGGCAGGATGCATTTTTACACCTTGCAAATGACAAATTTGCTTCTTATCGGTGGACGAAAGTAAAAATTGTCCATGAATATGATGCGAATTTGTCATTTGCAGGCTCAGGAAAAGCTAATGTTACCGAGGTAACGTTTCTTGACACAACCAAACCAGGTAACGTTTGGTGATGCAACCAGTTTGTGATGGCCGTATCCTTTTGCATGGGGTAGGTTGCATCAGGAAACGTTACCGGGCTGCTTGGTCACATGATCACTGTAAAAATTCTTTGTCACGATGACGAAAATACCATGGCTAATTTTTAGTACAGGGCTGTCGTCACGAATTTTCTCGTCACGATGACGAGAAAACCTTAATCATGTGACGAAGAAACCCACGACGACACCCCTGTACTAAAAATTAGCCATGGTATTTTCGTCATCGTGACAGCATTTTTACTGTGATGAAACGTTACCATGGTAACACTAGTTTTTCCAGTGAGGTGTTAAAATGCACCCCGTCAAGATGTGCTTATAAACGCATCTTGCTTGGGCAAAAGAAGTCCATTGTACTTTAGTGTGTTGTCACTGGCAGGATTCAGAACTGTATCTGGTGCACCAAAAAAGTGGGACAAAATAAGTCCTTTCAGATGACGTGTGCAGACGGAATGTATTTGTTTGTTGGCCGCAGATCGAGCGGCAGGAGCGGCGCTGGGTGCGGAATTGCCACGACGTCCCGCAGCGGTTGGCCGAGCTGCTGGAGCGCTTCTCCTTCCCTTCTCTCCGGCTCGTCGTGCTCTGGCGCCTCGGCAGCCACTTCAATGATGAGGAGCACGCCATCTGCGGCCGGCAGGTGCGCGCCGTGAGGAGGGTGTTCGGCCCGAAAGTGACGGTGCTCTGCGCCAGCTGCGGCTGAGCAAGAATGCGATGCGAAGAGAAAGACGGATTTAATCACATAAACCGAACGACTAGTTTTCTTGTCGCCACCCCAATCTGCATCACAAATCTCGGAGGGTATACAAGTTGCGGCTCCTTCCCCTTCAGTTGAAGTGCTACTTGTTGGTTTGCGCCTTTTGATGCTGTTTCCAACACTCCCTGAGGGAGTACGATATAGTTGTGAGCATACATTGCCCAAATCACTCCCTAACTGTTTCATTCTCTTGAGCTTCTCGTCTTCTGGAACATTAGTCCTGTCAAGAAATTTAACGTTTAATTCTGAAAAAGAAATGAAGGATTTAGATTCTAGCTGTAACATTAAATAAAAAGAATTTAATTAAGGTAATTGCTCTAATGACTAATTAGTGAAATTACGTGTCATGTCATGAGCCTCCTCAGGTGTGTCGACAATGCCCGAGTCGGCCCTGGAACGCTTGCTTCCGGCGCGGACCGATTTGCTTCCCTTTTTGGGCCGGCCACCTGCTCTCTTCAAATTTGGATTCGCGGCCCTCCAAGTCGCTGCCGCCGCTTCCGGATCTTCACCCCTTTCCCGGGCCTCCTCCTTCACCCGGTTGATCCCGCGGGCGTCCTTGTTTTGGTTAATTTTTGATAAGTACGCCGCGAGTGCTTTAACCAAACGCCTTTTTTCCACCAGTGACCAGTGTATGGTCAGAATGTCCATCCAGCCACTTCTGGTAGATTGCTGCAAAAAGGCAGATGAATTAATGTTGAGCATGAAGTTTCAAAAGTGCAGGAAATTATATCTGACAGCCTCTAGACTCTTACTTTCAGCGCTAGCCAACCAGTTCTGTGAACACTTCGCTTCACCGTATATCCTCAGTTTCTTTGGGTCCTCAAAGCAGGCCCAGAGAAGAGTGTGTTTAAAATCGCTTTCAGTAGCACAATTTTCGAGCCTGCTCTCGAACCCACTCTTTGCCCGCAGGCCGCACGGGAGGGTAGTCCACGTCTAATAGGCACAACAAATAACAAATGAATGAATGGCACTGCAGTGTCCCAGTGTCACTTATAATCGTAGAGTTAGTTGCACTGAGAAAGCGGGTTGGTCACCACAACTGCAAAATTCGGTTGTTGTAACTAAAATGATGTTCAGTCTGTCCCCCGAGTTATAAACATAGGACGTTTTGTTGCTTTTTGTTGTGTTTAGATTGAGCGTCTGAACGCTCAGCCAGCTAGTCAAAATGTCTAAGGGATGTGACCGAGGGGGCAAAATGAAGAGCACTTTGGTTTTAACCAAAGTATTCACTCTGTGTGGTATGCGTACTGCGTACTTTTGGTCTTGGATGGTTCTAAAAGTCTTGCAGGTCCTCACAATTACACTGAAACAAGTTTGCAACTGCTCAACACTTGAAAATGTGCAACTGCAAGTTCAACACTTGCAAGTGTTCAACGCGTTTTTTGTGCACTTGCCAGTGTGCTATTCCCCTGTTAAACACTTTCCGCACAGTAAACGTCCAATCGAAGGACGTGTTCACCAGGAGAGGTGCTGCACACTTACAAGTGCACAAAAAATCAGTTGAACACTTGTACACAGTGTACCACTAGTGAATTTGACACTTGCACACTAACAAGTGTTGAGTAGCTGCACACCTAGCCCAGTGAGAAATCAGTGGTCGAATCGACTTCGAATCGACGTCGATTAGGCAGGTCGAAAAATTGTCGGTTCCAAATGTCGAATCGACGGGATTTTGTCCCGCAAATCGACGTTTTTTCGACATCGACTATTTCGATACTCTATCGAAAAGGGACGAAAGGGATGGGTTTCAACGGTTGCGCTAAGTCCTGTAGCGACCGCTATGGTGTCCGTAGGCACCCGAGTCGCCATCACTTTCAAAAATTAATGCAGGAGATGAAGTCCGTGACGGACACCTCCCGCGCTAGAGCGAACACGTCTCCAGACTATAGTTGTTTTGGCGTTGCGGGTCACCAGCGAGAGGTAAGTGTACAGTCAGGGGAAGACCCTGTCTCGAATCGACGTCGAATCGACATCGATCATGTACAATACGAAATTACTTGCAATTTAGTACCAGGAACCGTTCTGTAACACTTTCAGACACATTGGCTGAGTTGAGCCGTGTCATAGGGCACTTCTCGAGTAACATCGAAATTTCGTCGACAACTTCGTTTCAGGACCAACGATAACTTCTCGAGCAGTCGACGTCGATTCGAGGTCGATTCGAACACTCATTTCTCACTGGGTAGTTTATCAAGGTAAAACCTCTTGCAAAGCAAAATGCCAAATCAATTCCAATTACGAAGCAATGTTTTGTAGTTGCCAAGCAAATGCTTTGCAATTACAAAGGATTTGGTGTTTTGCTCTGGAGGGTTGTAACTGTGTTTAAACTGCCGTAGAAGCTCGCTGTAGATTGTCGCTGGCAACGAACGAGGTGTAGAGGTGGAGTTCCTAAAGGTGCCGCAGGACGCTGCTGGTGCTGGAGTTTTCTTTTCTTATTTCCTGGTCACTCAGACTGCTCGGACGACTCCGCTATGGTTGCTGTGAGCTTCTCTTTTTGTCTGCCTCTTCTGGAAACTGAAAAGTGTCGTACAGTATCACAGTCTTAACTACAGTATTAATGGGACTGCTGTTTTATGTGTGATACCATATGAGTAACACAGTTAAAACTGTATGGGCCACACTGTTCATTTAAGGAATGTGGCGTCTCATTTGTTCCAATGCGAAACGTGTCACATTCGTTAGAACGGGACGCTGCCTGAATTGAAATGGTGGCAAGCTTGGCCAAGTCATGTTTAAACAAATGTGACACAACATTCAAACGAACGTGAACACGAATCACATTGACGCGAATAAGACGTCACATATAACAGTGCCTGCTACAGTTATGTGTCCGACAGATAAAAGCGGCGCATACACGGGGTGTCCTTCAGCTTACACTATTACACAAGGTATCACACTAGAAACTGCAATGCCATTTCAGTTTATACTGTGATACTGTTACGGCACTTGAGTTTCCAGAGTCTTCGTTGGTGTCCCATCGACAATCTGGATTATCTCGTCCTTGTGTCCTTGTGAAAATCTAAATGAAGAGGGACATTTTCGTACGTAGGTTTGATATGTTCTTGTGCATAACTTAAGGTGAGGCTTGGGTGGAACTGGAAAAGTCGGGTGGAAAAAGAGTTTTTTTAAGTTTTAAATCTAAATGCTAGTGAAATCAAGAAAAGGCTCTCTATATCATTCTACTTTAGTTCGTTGCGCATCTTTTAACATATGATAAGTCTACAGTTAGGCATAACACCGTGCGCAAGAACTATTTTGAAGTTATAATTCTTTTATGAAATTTCAAAATAGCTCTTGCGCACAGTGTTATGTCCAACTATAGACCTATTATATGTTAAAAGAACCGCGACAAACTAACTTAGAATAATATAGAGAGCTTTTTCTTGATTTCACTCGCATGAAGACTTAAAACTAAAAAAAACACTTTTTTGCCTGACTTCCAGTTTCACCCAAGCCTTACCTTAATCAGATACGAATTTGCCTCGACGTTACATACTGGAGCATTTGTGCATATCCTAATTGTACAACTTGTTCTCCCTTTTGAGACAAATTTGTATCTGCTGAATACGTACACAAGGACACATCTAACCTACGTACACAAATTGTCCATTCCTATGTTTACATCAATTCGCTTCAAGACAATTTCTTTGCCGTCGTTCGCATCATGTTGAGTGCTTTAGCGGTGAGCCGCTTCATGCCCTGCAAATGAAAGTGTATAACAAGATGGCAGTTTGAACTTCAAGACTGTGCTGAAGTATAAAATGAGGCTTAAACTGCAGTTTTCTGACCATGTGTTTAAATTTAATTTCTGTCGACACGCACTAAATCTGAAAGGACCTTTATTGTCCATAGAAAGACGCGTTTTTGTGCACATCTCAACCGAGGCAGAGGTCTTGACAGTAAGACCTGCGCAAACTGCGGCCACAGCGCAGTCAGCAAGGCGGAGTCGTAACCATACTCGTCGAACAAAGACTGGGCCAGGAGCAGAACGGATAAGACGTACCTACAAACCATCACAGCAATTATAATGATGACAGCGGGCATCAGCCACCAAATGTGGCCATTAACCCCTGACACCACCGAGTAGACTACGTCACTTTTTAGGGAATTCAGCTCCTTGTCAGATAGTGCTCTTGAAGTAGCCACTAACTCCGGCTCGTTTACACGCCCATCCAGGGCCCTGGCCAAAGCGCTAAGGATGGCAGCATCTCTGTGCGGTCGGTTAAAGTCTTGAGCTAAACGGTTAAAGTCCGTCTTATCCGAGAACGGAATGTAAAACGGTCGGGGTGGGGTCAGGTCCAGTGGGCTGAGTTTGGTCATCACCCCGCCCATCCTGTAAACAACTTCCAAATGTGTGCCATTGGCGAAGCGCCACTGGCCGTTAATAATGTGATAGGAAGGGAGATCGGGGCTGCAATCGATCTGAGTTGGCTCGTTTACAATCACGTTCGTCAATGTGTCCACCCAAGTCTGCTGGTCGTTGTACGACACAGCAAGCTCTTGGTAGATGTCAATCCAGCACGTGGTGAGATGTGTATGGATAATTAAAATCCTTTCCGATTTAGTGCGAACCACCCTCCTCGTCTCCAAATTACTCCAACGAGCCTACATGTGTGATAGGGTTTTGATTTATATTGAAACAGGTACAGCCACTTAAATGATTTCCATATAATCCATTTCATATCACAGACCTGTTTTATTACAAATTGC